CTGCTGGCGCCAGAAACATGTTACCCGATGCCCCTTATATCTATCCCTTCGAAATGACGCTTGAGGTATTTGCTATTGCCGACTCCCGTATGTATTTGCCAAGGGCTATCTTATGTTTCCTTTGCATCCAGAGTTCTCAGAGTTTTCAGATCACTAGAATCCTTCAAATCCATAAATCCCAATCAGTGCTCCCGATGGTACATTTTCAATTTACATTTGTATAGTCTTATAGGAGTAACTTGTGAGGTGCGCTCAAGCTTCTTAAGACGGCAGTTGAATGAGTGCTGTTGTGGCCTTGTAGCTACTCATATTTACTACGCCTGCAGCGACCAATCTGTACTTCATAAATATATAATATCATATACAAGCAGAAGCTCGATCGCGCTATTCAACTATATATTTGTGGAAAATCCGGTGTATTTTGACAATATTACAATCCATAGAAGGCTTTGTGCGAGCCAGTCGGTTATACAGAGGTGGCACATTGATTTTGATGAGTAGGTTGTTGTTAGAAACATTGGTCGGAAAGGCTACATCGTGATCAATTTGACAGTATCAGTATCATCTTCCCAAAATGCAAAAGCATAATTGTTTACAGTCCTAGAACGAAGTATCGTTCACGGAGTATAAGGACCGGATCTCAGAGCCTTCGATCTTGTTTGGAGGACCAGAACATTGGGTAGGCTTGAAAGCTATCTATTACTAAAAGTATCAATTGACTACTCCGTACGCTAGGATATGTATTTAGTGAGGTTACAACAGTCTCACTGGAATGCAGGGTTTCAATATTCATCACGTCAGGGATGATCGACTCCTCCAGTAACGAGCGACGTCAAATGATACATCCGTATCATGGAATTGATACCCCAATTAAACAATTCATATTCTTAAAACATGACTGATATTCTTTGAGTGAACATGCAGCTGTTGCTTGGATCTAGCGAGAATCTTGTCAGGGAAAAAGTACCGCATACCAATCCAAGCAAGAATGTGACTGTGAAAGTGAAAGACCCCGAGCATAAATCAAGATATAAACCCCTTGCATGCTTTTTCGGGTTACATCCGGCTCTACATAGATGTCCTACAATAAAAAGTACTGTACATCCACACTTGGATTCAATGTGGTGGTTTTTACCTTGCCTATTTCAAACGCCCTTTAGACTTTTGCGCGGATGATTCGACCCAACACATTTTTATGAGTTCTCATAGGTTCGATAACAACTGGGAAATTTAACTTGCAGCTCATGGCAGACTGTTCAAGCATGAAAGATTTCAGCTACACAAATCGAGATGACATCCCATTGAAAGAGGCTGGAACCGAGGAGAGTGATGATGACGAAGAAAAGCAAGTCTATCCACCGAGCTCACAGCTTGCTCCGATTGTGATAGGACTCTGCTTTCAATCATTTTGTATCGCTTTGGTGAGCTTCAAGATATTGTTATTGTGTCATGAGCTAACATGGACGACTTACCAGGATAACACAATCCTCTCAACCGCCGTTCCCAAGATCACCGAACAATTCAACTCACTAGGCGACTTGTCGTGGTATGCTAGCGCTTACCTTTTAACTACATGTGCCGTCACCCTACCATTTGGCAAGATATACACGTATTATTCGACAAAGTGGACATATATAGTTGCTCTCGGCTTGTTTGAGCTTGGGTCTCTAATATGTGCAGTGACACCGACATCCAAGGGATTAATTTTCGGGCGAGCAATTGCCGGCATCGGGTCTGGGGGATTGTCACCAGGTGCTCTACTCGTGCTCGCGAATAGTGTACCCCTTCACCGGCGCGCCCTCTACTTCGGAATCATCGGTAGCACCAGTGGAATTGCGACGATCACTGGACCACTGTAAGTCTCGCTATTTCAATCGCAAAGAACGTCGGCTGATGTTACCATAGGCTAGGGGGACTCTTAACCGATCACGTTAGTTGGAGATGGTGCTTTTGGATAAATCTGCCTTTTGGTATCCTCACCGGCCTTGTCATTTTACTGTTCTTCAAGGATTCTACCTCACCCAAACCCAAAATCAGCCGCCTTGGGCAGTTAAAGCGAATGGACCCCCTTGGAGTACTTGCATTCGTTCCCGCAGTTGTCTCTCTTCTATTGTGTCTGCAATGGGGCGGCACCAAATACAGCTGGAGCAATGCTCGAATAATCGTCCTATTTATTCTATTTGGCGTATTCAGTTTTGCATGGTGCATTATCCAGGTGTGGAGGCAGGATGACGCTACGGTCCCGCCTCGTTTACTCAAGAACCGAAATGTGCTTGGAGCAGTGATTCACGCTACATTCCTAGGCGGTTCCTTTTTTGTCTTTGGATACTATGTGGGTTCTGACTCCATTCCTCTCAGTTTAATTGCTAACAAGTTTCCAAGCTCCCTATCTGGTTCCAAGCAGTCAAGGAAGACTCTGCATCACAATCTGGAATTAACAACCTTCCGATGGTGGTGGCTATGATTGTATTCTCTGCTTTGGCTGGGCTACTGGTGAATGTCGTTGGATACTATACACCGCTCATGTTCGTTGGAAGCGCCTTTCTCACGATTGGCTCTGGGCTCTGTACAACTTTCAAAGTGAACAGTGGACACCCGAAATGGATTGGATATCAAGTCATTCTTGGAATTGGAGCAGGACTCGGCTTCCAGCAATCCATCAACGCACTTCAGACTGTACTGCCATTACAGGACATACCCATCGGAATTGCCATAATCACATTTGCACAGAGCCTCAGTGGCGCAATGTTTATTTCGATTGCCCAAACCGTTTTTGAGAATCGCCTTGTGGCCAGCATAACAGCCAATGCTCCCAATCTCAGCCCAAATGCATTAATACAAGCCGGGGCTGCAAACCTATCTCAACGCGTTCCCAAAGATATGCTGCCATCCGTCCTATACGCGTATAACATTGCAGTCATCCAGACATTCTACGTGTCTATTGCTGCCGCACTACTCTCGTTCATTGGTGCTGGACTTGTTCAATGGAAGTCCATGAAAAGACGACAGAAATACGACGGCGCAGCTTGATCCAGTGAATAGCCTGAGTTGACAGTTTTTCAACTTGATTGATACCCTATCTTGTTTTTGAGTTTCCCATGGGCATTTTCCGTCCGGATGATTGTAAATAAGGACATTCAGATTTTCAGAAAAGTGAATGATATCTAAATTCCAAACGTGATCTCATTATCAGACCTTATAAAGGCAGTTGAGATGTATGAAACTATAATGGTTAATACAAGCAAATCATGACCCAATGAAAATACAAATACAATAACCCAACCCCAACGCTAGAATGTAGTTCAATTTTACCATCTCTTCCCGAAAAATATGATCTTCGAATGAGTGGAATAGCTCTCTCCATGTTAGCCACTGGCCTGGCCCTCAATATCCACCCATCTATCAGCAGCGTATACGCCCTCGCAGGATGTGATTGGATAGCCATAAGCGACGGCCCATTGTTGCTAGTCAATTGGGGCATTGGGAATATCCTTCTTTTCTGTCATATATTGGATTCCCGCTTTTAAATGTGACCGAGCGCACTGTTCAGATCATAACCGATACCACAAGTCATCGAGGTAAGTCTTTTCACCGATATGATTGAATAGCCCATGAATATTTTTGTCACTAGATTTGTTTCTAGGTGTATCTCATTAAAATATTACACTTAAAGCTGTACTCAATGAAGAGACGACTTTGACAGGCGATCAGCCTCATAGGGCTGGAAATTCGAGAATTCAATCGAATTTTGAGATATCAAAGCTGAAACACCAGCCCCGTCGGAGCAGTTCGGTGGAAAGCAAGATGTTCAAGAATGATTTTCTACGTTTGATTTTCTGTCGTGTCGTTCATGAACCTATTCTTCATGATAATTATCTAATTATTTCAAGATTGATGAATAGCCCTAGGAACATGATTGACAATGAACTTCACTGTATCTAACATACTCGATACTTGACAGTAGTTGGGAAAGGGACCAAGTTGACTTAGCACTTAATGCTGCATTGTATTATAGCATAATATACTCCGTATGCATTCGGGGCTTTGGAAAATAATCAATAATAAACCACCAGACAATCGGAAAACCAACAGTCAAGTGAGTTTGGAGGCAGTAAGGGTATCAAATAATTCATGTATGAACAATCGAGGGCTATCTCGCTCAGCCAAAAAGAAGCCCGAGAATCAAAAGAAAGGAGAGTTGATATTTTGCAGCTAGAAGCAAATAGTTGCGAGACTCCCTCATGACAAAATGTACTGGACGATCCGTATTGAAAGCTAGTAATCAGTCACATCATTGCACAGGGAGTTCCGCAGCAATATGTTTTGAGTCGAGCTCATGAAGTGACATTGATCTGCTTGAGTCGAGTTCATGAAGTGGCTTTGGCCTACTTATGTCGCTGTGCTTGGCTTCCATGTACCCGTAAGCTACTCCGTTATCTTCAAGTTCTGTCGGCGGCATATATTTGTTGCGGTTTGTAGGCTCTGTGCCGTCAGGATAAAGGTCTTCTTTCCTGCCTTTCCGTCGCAACATCCATATCAGAACTATCACCGCGAATATGAGAAGAGTGCCAACAGATACACCGATTCCTATACCTGCTTTGGCTCCTGTCGACAGCCCGCTGCTGGGTGAATCTGTTTCCTGGGGTCCCAATGTTGGTGTCGATGTTGGTGTGGACGTTGCTATTGCTGTGGGACCACGGGGTACTGTGCTAGTTGTGGTTTCCGATGAGCTCGTCGTAGTGACAGTAACGAGGTCAGAGGCACGCCAACGAATAGAGACCCCTTTGGCGTTGATACCGTCTGCCGTAGCTGTGAAGCTAGAAACTACTCCCCCTTGAGTGTAGGTCCAAACGCTCAGCTCAGTGTGTCTGGAGGTACATTGATTCGTGGTAAACCAAAGCAAATTGCTTCGGGTCTGGACGCTGTAGTTTCTAAATGGAAAATATAAAGTCAATATAAAAGTTCATAATCTGTGTAAGCACGATGAAAAATGTTTCCACTCACATTGGACAGCAGGTGGCATGGGTTTCAGCAGCCTCGCCATTGGAAGTATAGGCTGATTGAAAAGCAGTCCAATAGCCCGATGGACAAATACCAGGAGAGTAGTAAAAATCAGTCGCCTGCACATAGCCCGAAGGAAGACAAGTACTCCAGTCCGTCGGGCCAAGGTTCAGCCACCAGCCAGTGAGGCCGGTCGTTACAGTTGTCGTGTAGTAATCTGTACCTGACAGGTTCTCAATCATCCATGTGTCGGTAGTACATGATGGTGGTGGTGTAAAGGTTGTGGTCAGCGCAGGAGGACTGGTAGACGTCATTGAAACTCCCAGACGTGAAAATCACGTACCCAAGACATAGTGACTTCAGAAGTATTTGGCATGTAAGTGCTCGAGGGAATGTCATTCAATGGGAGATCTCAATAGAGAAAATGTATGGTGCATTCACTGTGTGACAAAGTGGACGGTGATAGAAAAGAAAGAGTGAGAAGGGAGAAGGATGTATCTGATTACATGGCGCTGATCCTCTTAGCTGCCCAGGTGGTTAACCACTGGCTAACCGCTGGCTGGCTAACCGCTGAGCTATACCTATATGGTTAGCGGGAAGCGGGGCCATCAGCGGGCCGAGTTTCAAATAGGGCTGCATGTGTTGGGAAACTATTGATAGAATTATGGGAAAGGAGGCTGTATTCATTAACTGCACTGCACTCACTATACTCCTGCACTCCTGCAATCCTACACTTATTGGACTCATTGTACTCACTGTACTCCGTAATTGACTGGGGAAAAGGAATAGGAAGAGCAAATTAGCACGAGACAGGGTCTTGGCAAACAGGGTCAGGTGACCCCATCTCTAACCCCAACTAGTTACAGCCTTACAGGTCTTCCTCCTATAGTACTATCTTCGAAAATCTACATATATTCCTCTATAGGTCGCATTAATATTCCATTTAAGCATCTCTCTCTCCAGGGTAATTCCATATCAAACTGGAGAGATGAACAGTGGCTTTATGCTCAATACCTACATACATACATGCATGTAGGCAGGAGGTCCGTGCATTTCCTAATACCCGGCCACTCCCCCAAAACGTTCTGTAGCCCCAACACAGTGCAAAACTACATTAACCCACTAATGAGAATCCGAAAAAGATTCAAGAAGCCGAAGATGTCCTCCTTTCCTCCCTTCAATCAAGCAAGGCACCGATACCCTCGCTTATCGCAAGGTTTCAGTATTTACCTTACGAAGCAAAATGATAAGAGTAACCGGATATCACAGACTTCCACGTTCTGCAAAGGACTTAACGGGGTAGTGCTCAAGGTCGCATGCCAATTACGTTTCATGTTAGTTATGCTGAGTACTGTTTTTGCCCTATTTATCAGGCGGATGATCTTGAGCCTTGTTTTACCAGCTAGTTAGATGGTTAGATGATGATGCCAGGGCCCATGGATCCTTTCCGCCACATTAAAACCCGAGAAAGTCCCATAGACCCTGCAATCTGGCAAATTAATGCAATCACTTCGAAGGGGCAGTCGAGAGGAGAGTTAGCTGAATCACGCATAAAGTACCGCGTGAAGCTAGCGGATCAGGAAACCGATGTGTAGTTGGGTTCTATAATACTCAATTCTCCAACTTGGAGTCGGTTAATCTTCTCCCTCGGTGTTAATTCTCCTTTGCAGTTCTATTTTACTAATTTCCGCCAGGCAAGTGTAACCTTGGCCTTGGGATTGAAGAAGCCAAAATTAGCAATAGGCATGTATCTGGGTGAAAGACTTCTGGTGCAATTTACATAAATTTGTTTGCCTCTGTCAAACGTCCCACCCAAGCTCTCTTTAAGTGCATGAAATCCGACTCAATAGAATCCCAACTTGATGACTATGTCCTTGCTTGTTGGTCATGAATTTGACTCCGGTACTATCAAGTGCGCCAACAACCTTGAAACAAGGTCTGAATGGCGACACAGATAGCCTTGACGTAGATTCAAGTACTACAAGAATCGACGTGGCGGATAAAATTGATCCAGACACCCCAGTTGGCGTAAGGCCAATCCAGAATATTTGCTGCATTGTGGCAGGCTATGTCGGTACGTTATGCGGATGTATGATTCTGATATTTTCTCTTGGAACCTACAGCCTGATTGTCAATAGGCGGCCCAACTGCTGCCGTTATTGCATTCAAAAACCCACAGATCCGAGTCACCGTCGCCGACAAAGATGAGCGACGTATTGGAAGGTGGAACTCACGACATCTACTTATTTACGAGCCCGGGCTTGCTAAAATCGTTCGGATTGCACGAGATGGAAACCGGAATTATTCTACTATGCTTATATCAACAAATTCAGAGGGAATCCCATACGTGTTTGAAGAGCATGAAGCGCACGAAGCGCACGACAGACAACAAGAGGGAAGGGCTGCATCCCCTCGGATATTGAACTTGTTTTTCTCCACGAACGTTCCAAAATGTATTCAAGAGTCGGATATTTTCATAATTACGGTTAACACTCCGACCAAAATGCGAGGATCAGGCGCGGGAAGTGCAACAGACATGACAGCTTTTGAGACTGTCGCTGCTGATGTTGTGCAGCATGCACGGAACGGATCGAGTATTGTGGAGAAGTCCACAGTCCCTTGCAAAACAGCCCAAATGATCCAGGAGATGGTACGTAAGACCATACCATCGATCATGAAAACACACTCACACTTTGTATTCACATAGATTGATGTATGTCGGCCCGGTGGACACTTTGAGATTCTATCTAACCCAGAGTTCCTCGCGGCTGGGACCGCAATTCACGACCTGTTATACCCGGACCGAGTTATCATAGGTTCTGCGACGACAGAAAGAGGCAAAGCTGCAGCAGAAACACTAGCTGGAGTCTATGCTGGCTGGGTTGACCGGGCCCGCATAATTACTACCAACATCTGGTCATCGGAGTTGGCGAAGCTCGTGGCTAACTCCATGTTAGCCCAAAGACTTAGCAGCATCAACAGTATTTCGGCAATCTGCGAGGCCACAGGGGCTGAGATTAATGAGGTCTCGGCGTCAATTGGGATGGACTTCCGAGTTGGCGACAAATTACTCCGCCCCGGCATTGGGCTTGGGGGTAGCTGTTTCAAGAAGGATGTCCTCAGTCTTGTATATCTTTCTGAGTCCTTGGGCCTTAAGGAGGTTGGGGCTTACTGGTGCCAGGTAGTTACTATGAACGAATACCAGCGCAACCGATTTACTAGTCGTGTCATCAAGTCCCTGAACAATACTCTGGTTGGAAAGAAGATCACTCTACTGGGTTATGCCTTCAAGAAAAACACATCGGATACCCGAGAAGCACTCGCCCTTGAAATAATCAAGACTTTGCTTGATGAAAACCCCTGTGAAATCGCAATATTTGACCCTTTTTGCAATCCCTATGTCATCGAGAGTGATATCCATCAGCTACACGGGCCCCCCGCTCTCAGGGATGATGGTGGCACCGTGAAATTCTACTCAGACATATATGATGCCTGTGCTTCATCCACCGCAATACTCATTGTCACCGAGTTTGATGAATTCCGCAATACTGAATCGGCTGGCGTTCCTCGTTCTTCAAACATCTCACCAGGACATCTACCCTTCAACCAAGATATGCATGAGCCCTCATAGAACGAAACTATTTCCGGGACAGGCGCCGTGATTGATCCACCACATGTTGCATACGCTCAAGAGAAACCACGCCTTGAGCCTGATTGTGTCGCAGATTGCCCAGACTGTCAGAGAGAAAACGGTAGCGAGCTTGCTATCGGCAAGCCCAACAACAACCTTCCCAAGAAGCAGGTTGGCTGGAGGATAATTGCCGATAATATGGCAACACCAAAATGGTTATTCGATGGGCGGTGCATCATCGAGATCAAAAAGATGAGCCAGCTGGCTATTCGAGTCGAGAGCATTGGCTCCGTTGGCGATAGCCATTGAAGGTGCCGGGAATAACGGATTCTCATGGAATCTTCTCCTTTCTGTCCTTTTCTGTTATTTCCTGCTATTCTCTGCTATTTTTCTGTTCCTTCCATCGCAGATGTACCAGCTAATATATACACTCCTTGGACAATCCGCATAGTTCCATTTAGCCAGCATTTACCTGAGGTATGAACTAGGTAACCTCTACTCCGCTTTGTATCGCTTTTAGCGATTGATACTTGAACATGTACCGCTGCTGTCCTCCCCCAACACACGTCATTTTTAGACGTACGCATCGTGAAAATGTCGGTTGGAGTTGATCACACTAATCTTTAAATTGATAAGATATAGCAAGCTAACCTTTTAGGAAGCACTAAGCGTTCTTCTTCACCTTGCGATACGCATCACAGCCCCGACTAGATAGAACCCCAGGCATGCGTACCCTCAGATGTGCGTCGCTAGTCGAGGTTGCATTTGTTTATTTCGGCCTGGTGTAAGGCGGAAGAATGAAATATGCGCTGATACTTTTCGGGTGATATCTAGCCTCTCTAGGCTGCGTAGGAATAGTGATGGCTCTGTGATTGCGATCTATATGTATCTATCAGCCTCTCGGTTTACTAGAAATCGATATACTGTGGTCAAAGGCCGCATCAATAGCTACATATCGAGTGACAGCGAAATAAGAAAAAGTAGGTGGTTGTTGAGATATAAAGGTGTAAAATATTGCATTTACCGTAGTGTTTATAGCCAGATAATGCTTTTGAAAAGGCCAAAATAGTACACTCACATCTGTATAATGAAATCTCATTACCATTACCAGATGGTCGGATTAGGCTCTTTAGCTCAGTGGTAGAGCGTATCACTCATATGCAATTTTCTTACAAAATGATAATGTCGTTGGATATGTATGCTAGATGAACTTCCCCAAATGGGATGGAGGGATAGCCCTGGAGCGCGACAAGGATATATAATATGACGTCACTGGTTTGTTGTCACAGCCCCCAGCCAAGCCCTGGAGCCCGTGAAGCCGAGTACGGAGTACGGAGATGTAAGACAAAGGTTGCTTGGCAAGCCGCTGAGCCCTCGTATAAATGGGCCAATCATAATATATTACACCCATACTAAGCACAATCCACATCCCGTATGCAGCGCACTATCATTCCCGATTGGGAAATAGGAGAAGATGGCCATAGATCGAGATATGTAGTCTAGCAATCGTTACAACTTCAAAAGAATTCTCTAAAGGGTATAAAACAATCAAAAATTAGCTGTAAAAATGCTACAACTATTCTCCCACGCATTTGAACTTGATTTTCACCTGGTCTTTTAACGCTTCGACTCCTGTCTCAAAGCCCTGCATTGGTGCTCCTTGCAACAATGAACCATATGGCGTTGTTTTCTCCTTTCTCTGATAATGACAAGTTTTTAAATCAACAGTCTTGTCTCATTCTCGCTACGGCCAACAGTGCCAGCACCATGGGACTCGGCAAAGACTCTGGTTCACCCTTCAGGGTATGCACTGCCTATGTACTCGATCGCATCAAAAGATAGTGCTCCCAATGTGGTAATATTTCAAGGCTGAGATGAGTTTTCATGGGACATCATCGGCGACCCACGCCTTCCAAGCCTGTCTTCCAAAATACACCAAGCATTTTACGGCCAGCCAATAAACATGCGTTCAAACGAATTGTCAGGCAACTTCGTTCTCGAGTCGCCTGCCACATGTCAATTGAAGTGGAAAATTGATATGTTGATGGGAAGGAACATGGAGTTGCAGGATGCTGCTGGTGAAAAGCTGGCCAAGTTAAGACCAGGAAAATTGGGCGAAAAGGTCTTGAAGATTCTCGTCTCTCATGACAGTCGTTTCTTTGAGTTGGTTCTACTATCCGGGTAGACTGCCAGGACTATGAACAAGCCGGTGACGGAGGCAAGAGGCGGGATTTTGAGCTCTATTGTAGGGGCTTAATATGTATCATCGGTGGGCCCTTAACTATGAGACTATTAATGCACGATGTACCAACTCGATGATCCCTAGTTAGATATAGAAAAGTCCATTTCACAAATTAAGCTTTTCTCAGCCTTCTTCTGCCGTGTTTGTATGGAACCAAGAAGGCAGGCAGATATCTTTACAAAAAAGGGCATTTAAAATGACATCTAAAATGACAACTAAAAAGACGTCAAAAGGCCACACACGCGGCCGACTATTCTTGTAATGAATAATTTGAAATCACCTGCCCACCTGAGCATATACTCAACGTGTCATATTGCACGTCATAGTGCTGTCAAGCAAGCGGCAGGTCATACTTATAAAAGAATGTTGCATTGATAGGCCCTAGAGGTTACAACATATGAAGTTGACAGAAGGTCTAGTGGACAAATTAAAACTATGTACACACACATTTGCGCAAGTATGCACATGTAACAATGTTGTAGCTACCTACATGTAGGTATCAAGCTCGTGACTTCTAAGTTTGTCGGGACAATTGCACCTTCCTTGTTTGCTCCTCCTCCTCCTCCTCCTCCTCCTCCTCCTCCTCCTCCTCTCCTCTCCTCTCCTTCTCCTCTCCACCTTCATCTTCATTTTCTGCCTCTTCTCTTCTTTCTACCCCTTAGTGTCTCCTATCTTTAACCATGGCATCTTCGACCAGCCCCGCCCCCGGAAAGGAGGGTACTCAGTCTACAGTTCCATCGTTGACAAGCCTCGCGTTCAAAGAAGTTTGTCATCAACTGGAGGCATTTGTTGTTGGAAAAAAGGCATCTGCATCGTTTGTTTGTGGAGGTCTTGTCCCCAATGATACGAAATCCACAGCTGGTTCCACATCCGCCCAAACCATCTCTGTGTCTCCGCCAGTGAGGATCTGCTGGCGTACAGATGGTGACAATATCCCGCGAGTGTTGACTCTACCACTTGACTTGAACGCTGACTCCAAATCTGCACCCGATGATTTGCATAAGTTGGTGGTAGATTGCGATCCTGCTAGCTTTGGCAAGGGACAGAAAGATGTTATAGACCCTCAATACCGAAAAGCTGGAAAGCTTGAGCCCCACCATTTCTTCACCAGCTTTCATCCATCAGACTTCGGAATCCTTCAAAACGTGGAGCAAATTCTCCTTCCGAACTTCAACACAAAGTCACAGAACTCTCTACCCTTCCGGAAACTGAGTTCCGAGCTATACAAACTGAATGTATGCTAATCTAACCCCTCTTCTGCAACAAATACTAATGAGCCTGTTAAAAATAGGTTTACTCGGGTCCATCTGGCCTTTTTCGGCAGCACGTTGACACACCGCGATCCCAGAATCAGATCGGCTCCCTGGTCGTTTGTTTACCCTCTCATTTCAAAGGGGGTAACTTGGTCGTTCGGCACGAGGGAAAGCAGGTTGTTTTTGACTGGAGTTACCAGAGTACGTCCACGATTCAATGGGCAGCATTCTATAGTGACTGCGAGCACGAGATCAAGACAATCACGGAAGGCGAGCGCATCACCTTGACATACAACCTCTACGTAACCGAGCCAGTGGGGGGATCAATTCCGCCAAGCTTGATTGTTGACCCAAAAAGCTTGTCGCTGCATAGCTTCTTGAAAGAACTTTTCATAGAGCCTAGCTTTATGAAAGAGGGTGTGTTTGCTATATGCAGTCATTGGAAAATAGGATACCAAGCTAACTCTCTAGGCGGCGCTTTCGGGTTCTATTGCTCTCACGCTTATCCTCATACATCCGATGAGGCATCAATGCTACTTCCGAGGGCACTCAAGGGTGCTGACCTTGTGTTGTACTCTGTTTTCAAATCCCTTGGCATACAGATTGATGTTGTTCCGGTGATTATAGAAGATGACTATCAAGGAGATGACGATGAAGAGGATGACTATGAAGAGGATGACTCCAGCCCATTTGATAACGAACAAGGTGCATCCCAGAAAGAACAAGGTGCATCCCAAAAAGGGCAAGGTGAGTAACCCCACCCAAAATAGGATATTCAGAGTTTCCTCTCCAAACTTGCATCCACCCTATGGTTATTGATCGCTGCTGGATATAAATACTTCTTTCATACCAAGTGAAGAACCCCAAAGGATTTTGGCGTGTGCAAATAGTTACAATCTCAGTCAGCTAACAAGCTTTAGTGCGCGTTGGAGACAAGTTACATTCATACAAAGCCACTGGCATGATGACTGAAGATGGAGAGGTAAGTAGAGAATATCAAAGTGATCAGTTGGATGATCGAATAGTTAACGTGGGACAGTCATCACTCCAAGCACTCAATTGGACTTGGTCGGGCAAACGTAGGCCAGAAGTCACATGGATCGGCTCTCCGACACACGAAAAGATGGCCCTTACCCATCTGGCTTATGGAAACGAGACTTCGCAAAGCACAGTCTACTCGTACGCAGCGATAATAGCCGAGATCCCACCATTCCAGGAGCGAAAGGGTCTTGTTGATGCGTAAGCATTGTCGCGGGTTGGCTGATCTGGAACGGTTCGTATTTCCTTTCTTTGATATGAGATATCCAGCAGCCTTGCTTCGACTTTGCTTGACTGGATTTGCTCCTCACTTGATATCATCTCGTCGCTTTCGTTTGCGAGACGAGGCAGGATATGCCTTTAGGTCATAGCTTTAAGAAATGAAACAAAATCCCTTATTTTCGCAGTCACCTGAATACATCGATATGAATAGAAAGGATCCGTCACATCACTACTGGAATCTATGTCGCAAATCATCAAATTAATTCACTTGATATCCACACAACAATAACCAGCCACGTTTGCGGCCTTGTGATGACTTTTTTGGATGCCTTGGCCTTGTTAGCTGGTCTTTTTAAATGTATGTGAAGGTGGTAAAAAAGGAATACTTTATACAAGAGACTTTTCTATGTATAGCTTTGAACTACATTTCGCCCCCTGATCGTGTTTCCGTATTGAAAAATCATACGGAGTGAACGGTACTCAGGCATGGTCCTAGATTTATCTCAACTGCCTCCGATCTTACTAGGTATGGTTTATCGCTATTTAATAAATGTTTATGGTTTTTGTGTTAGTGACTGGCAGATAAAACATGGTGAAATTAATTTCTTACTTGGCTCCGACCGTTCCTGTTCCTGGTCTTGGCAATGGCGAGCGATGGCTAATTCTCCGCTCTTGTCCGATTCGTCGCCTCGTAACTGGGTCCGCGGGTACGTGCTGAGGCAGCCGAATACGATTTACGCAGTATGTACGGAGTAGGGAGTACTGGGTACAAACATAAGGAAAAGGCCCTCGTGTTGATTTGTGTATGGTTCTTGTGTTATAGGGCGTCGCGATCGACATTGTTACGGAGGTCTCGGAGGCTCTCCCCATTATAGTAATGGATTTAGAAGCCCAAGGGGATATGTTTTGAAAGAGGCCAGACATTGAATTTTAGACCAGTCCTCCGTACGGAGTACGGAATACCAACATACACGTACAAAGTACCCTCGTGTTATTAATGGGCTTATCTAGGGGAACCGAGGTTTGAGGCTGCAAAGCCGAGCACACGCGGCACATAATCTAGGGGCTATGCAGGCAGGGCAAATCGACCTATTGGGAATTGACAACAAATCGGCCTGCTATCATGCTGGGATTTCAGTCATTATAGTGGAGATGTTGCTTGCGTCACGCTGACAAGGGGCTGGGGCCATAGCGGAAAAAGTCTTACTACATACGAATACGGAGTAGCGTGTTTGAAGTTAAAATTTCCTAAAACGGACACATCTCATGGTATACATATATACCTACATAGTTAGGTCGGAATATATCTGATGGATATTTATTGTAACACAAAGAAAAAAATTAACTCGACGCCTTCTCCGATGTCAACAAACTCTATCCTAACGAAAAGGGAAGGAATAACGGGGAAGAAATCGATTAGGGCGCATTTGGGAGGTAGCGTGAGAAATCAAGGCCGTGGTGAGATGATCTAGTGTACAAGCTGGCGAAGCTGTGCCATGGCTTGGATTTTCATTATATAATCAAGATTTAGGTATATTGGAGCCCACCAGGGCGTGCTGTACAATTGGACTTGGTTCGCAATCTCCAAACAAACATACTCTTATGTCTTTGGTTTGGGCCAGCCATCGATGTCTCCGAACCATCGCGACCGATAGATTTCATTGCCTTTCATGATCTGGTGACGCACACCATCGACAACGAGACTGGTATAATTCCCTCGGTATAGCCGCCATAGAGATTGGGTATATAGGAAACTTCCATCGGGGGCGAGACTGAAACCCTTGAGGTCCGACTGCGGCAACTCCACGTATTCTCCCTGGCGGGTGATCCCATGACGATCATTGGTGGTAACCTCGAAGCCAGGCATATATTTCTCGACGACTTCGTCGTATTCCGCGGTAAATTTCATTTTATCAATATCGAAGGCGTGGAGACCGATATCGTTGGAGACGAGGAATACTCGTTCGTTGGGGACGGGGACGAGATCATGGGGTCCGGCCCACCAGCTGTATCCGTGACCCCATTCCACATCGATATCGTAATACTCGGGGAATCGGAATCGATAGGCTTCATCCACGCTGAGTAGGCCCGTCTCGGCATCGAAGGGGTATCCCTGAATGACGCCGTAGGCCGGAACGGGATCGGAGCCATCGGCCGCGGCATCGGTGCCGGTCGCCCACAACATCTGACCCTGCTCATCCCAGATCATGGCATGGATGGCGCGGAGACCTTCGATCCTTTGTAATACGGGGGGTTCATCGACGAGGGGAAGAGCCTCGCTCATGTTGTAGACCAAGATACCATCCCAGGGTCGCTGCCCGGTAGTTCCAACGGCGAGACGATCACCGGGCAAAGGCTCAATGGTATGGGCATTATTTAGGACCTCATTTGCTCTGTTGAGGGCGAAGGTGATTTTCTTATCGGTTGAGGGTTGATCGGGGGTATGGTTGATGACGACGATGAGGGCACTGTAGACGGCAGCGACGCTTCTACCGCCTCGCATCCACTTCATATCGGTCGCATCGTTGAAACCACTATATAAACCACTCTGAATCAAAGGAGGTAGGGGTTGTGTAACATCTTCTCGTTGCCAACTCCATTTGACGACACTGTTCCGGTCATGAATTTTCAATACGGGAGGAATCGCATAATGACCGGTGATGATATCTTGCCAGGGGCCCTGTACGGGAATGGCTATATCATTTTCTGCTTTGAGTCTAGGTTGAGGTTCGATAAGAGGAACTTGAAAGGCCAGTGGCTCAAAAAGGAGCGAGATCCAACCGAATAAGCTCCCTAACATGATGGGACAGACATGTTCAAAAGAGAGAAAGAGGAGAAACCGGATTTATTTTTTTTTAATATTTTTATTTTTTTTTCTTTGGGTCAATTCCGGAGAGCGGGGCCTTTCTTGG